GGGGGGGGGGAAGGGGGTGGGACGTTATGCAAATAAATGATCCAATTTCTCGTGCGGGCTTTTCTAAACGGCGCAAAAATTGACGCGTCGTTCCCCCTCGGACCGGATAGGTGGGCGGTGGCTCGCTGAAAATGAGAATCTCCCGTGTCTCCCACAAATAATCGTTATTCCTTCTCTTTTAATTGCCTTACGAATTCTGGTACAATTGGATTCCAACATAAACGGTAAGTCGGTACTGCTCGTTATTATATATATATACATTAATGGTACTTCGTTAGTTTAACATCCTTCGAGTAGTGTCGCTAAGAGCGTTACGCTGATCGCTCGTGCTAACAGTAATTGATCTCGTACAATCGGGTTAACTTACTCGCTACCAGTCGTTCTCGCTCTCTCGCGACTCGGACACGAGCTCGAGAGGAAGCATGAGAAGTCAATTATCGCGTTCGCGTCCGAGTCCGTCTCGTTTTCTTCATTCTCTCTCTCTCTCTCTCTCTCTCTCACTCACATTTTTTCCTTTCTTTTATCCTTTTCGGAATATACAGAAGCAGGAGAGTAGGAATAGCCGGCATCCGCGTGCACGAAAGCCATTTACAAATACTAACGAGGACAGATCTCGTTCGGCGTATAAAAAAGCACAGGGGGAGAAGGGAGGAAAGAATCGAAAAGTCGGCGGAGAGAGAGCTCACGGGCAGTGGGGCGAGGGGGGCAGGCGCAAAAGGGCGGGGGGAAAGAGAAGGTGTGAGACGGTAGCGGTGATATTTCAGAAATTGTTCTCCCGTGCTCGACGACGACGAGCGTCTCTCGTCGTGCGGAACTCTTCTCCTCAAGGAACATACAATCACGTAATCGCGCGCGCTTCCTTCTCCTCTCGTCGTAGGAGGGACGCAGTGCGGGGTCGCCTCAAATACCTCGAGTACCAGCGGACTCAAAGGTGCGCAAAATTACGTCGCGTTTGGTCCGATCCTCCCGCTAGCCGAACGAAATTCCAACGCGTTTCGCTCTGCATCGCAGACGTCTCGGTTGAAGTTTCAGTTGCGAGAGAGATCGAGACGGAGCGACGCGATCGCACTTCGTACGGTGGCGGAAGGGATTAATATTCATGCGTTCGTACTCGGGTCGGGGTTGAGGTGCGAGCGAAGAGATCGGGGGAGAACGGGTGGATGCGAAAAGAAACTTCCAAGTAGGAGGTTTTCGCGCGCTCATCTCGCACACCCCCGATTCGCGCGGCCGAGCCGTTTAACTTCAGCGACGATCGCAAGCGATCTTGTTTTCCGCTTCTGTCCACATTTTTTTTCTTGTTTATTTACAAGGCTGTGCCACGTCTTCATGAATTAATCCCTGGCCTTTGACACTGACGGTCGAACTCGGCGTGTTATCGAGTGAATTCTCCTCTCTCGGCCGTGACGATCGATGTCGTTCGGCGCGAGGTGATCGTGGCGATCGAGCGACTCTGCATGTTCGCAACGCGGCGATGTTCGTTTCGGAGATCGCGAACCTCTCGGCCTTTCCGTTGAGCGGGAGAATGAACCCGCTTCGCGGGAAAAGGGCGCGTTCGGGATTTCCTTCCGGGGTGCCGCGCGGTCGTCGACAATATCGACGACGGGAGTCTCGCGTGATGCGACTCGCGCGCGTTTCAGCGATGACGAAGCACTCGCTCGTCCTGAGGAATGTGAATTAGCAGCGTTACATCGTGTGGTTCTTAGTCATGCCGAAGAGAGTTACAGCGATCGTTTACATTTCAAGAAGGTATGTACAGTACGACGGCTATTCGTGGGTCGATCGCTGATAATCGCGCGGATCCGAGGCGGTATCGAGTCCCTGAAAGCAACACTTTCCAACGGGAAAATTTTCCTCGCTCGACGAGAGAAAAAGAAAGAAGGAATGAGAGGGAGGGAGGGAGGGAGGGAGAGAGAGAGAGAGATCGTCGGTCGAGAAGAAAGATCTCTCTCCGCGTCTTATTATTACACGTCTTATCAAATTTTCATGACGTCAGCGCGCTGTTTGTTCTGCCGATAGTTGTTATCCGGGAAACAATCGGCGAAACGAATCTGAAAATAAACACGAGCGACGGTAGTGAGCGCGGCGTTAATAACCGGTCGTGTAAGGGCGGCGCGCATCTAAATTTGTAATAGCGAAAGCACAGCAGCGAGTCGTCCGATCGCGACGTACGAGCGACTCGATAAAATTAAACGCATTCTACTTCGGGCCACATTGGCGCCCGTAGCGCGTCCATTACGCGCCCGCTTACGTTTCCGTGTTTCATAATTAACGATCTTTAGGACGGCCGACACGATAGACCGACGCGGCATCGGAACGAACTAACGTCCGGAGGGAAGAGGGAGAGCGCACAGTGCTCAATAGTCACGCGTAACCCATTTTTACCCGGGCAAAATCCGATACTCAGCCGTTGGAGAGCGGCCGATGCAAAATGCATCGCGTTACGTCCGCGCTCCGGCGTGTGATTTCACTACTTACGGAAGAATGGAAGGAAACTCGAATAGAACTAAGCAACGATCGCGCGCGATCGCTCCGTTCGATCGGCTCGGCCGCCAACGAGCTCCGCTATTGCCGCGCGCTTCAATATTCTCAAAGGGGAAGCAGCGGAACTGGCATAGCCGGAAGCGTCGATCCTCAGACATCTAAAAAAAGAGTGACTTGCAAAAAGAGATGTAATCATCTTCGCAGGACTATTACATATTTTGACAGAGAAGTGTTTCTGGCTTGCATCCATGCGTGTCGATTTTAATTTTACACCTTCGGCAAGACTTCAGAGCCCAAACACAAAAAGGCATGTCGGTTTTGGCGCTTCACCTCTAGCGTGACTCGATAGTCACGCGAACCCACTCTTCCGACTCGAAACAGTGTGTGATGTGTGTGTGTAAGTATGTACGCATGTATATGTGTACGCACATGCATATGACCGTAACGTGTGATTATCCGGAATAACGTCGCATCGGGCCTATTGTACGGCTGTTACGTTTGCGAACACGTGCCTCGGATTACCGCGAATCGCGACCGACCCACTGTCGGAGATCTATGGAGAGACGTATACACGGATAGACCAGTACGATACGAATGTTTTTTTCTTTTTCTTTAGTCACTTAAAGCTTAACGTTATGTTACACGAGCGATTCCGTCCACGCGCATTGTCCCTCGTCGTCCGCGCTCTTTTTCGTTTTTCCCTCCTCTCTCTCTCTCTCTCTCTCTTTCTCTTGCACGACGCGCGTTTCTCCGCCGGCAGTCCAGAGCGAAGCGCCGTGTTCTCGCTCCCGGAACTCGAAGCCGGCTCGCATCGGCAACTGAATCGAGCTTCTGCAGAGCTTGCGGTCTTCCGAGCTACGCGTGTACAACGAAGACGCAAGCGGGACGCAGCCGGAGAGAGTCGCGGTGTGACTCGGAATAGGATCGCTCAGGATAGGTAATTAACGATGGCGAGGCGGATGAAGTATCGAGGGGTCTCTCGCTGAGGGATACAGAAATCTCGAGTAATTGGGATTAATCGTTACCGGAACATTTGGGGAGAACGCGCGGCCCCGGTTTCCGAGAGAAACTTCCACCGTCACTTTCGGCACCGATATATTTCCCGGCTCGGCGTTATCCGGCCGCCGCAGCCGAACGTCGGGCGAAACTTTATTCGAAGAACATTCCGGCCGCGTCAGCTGGTCGCGTTAACTGCGAGCGCGCGCGCGCGGCCAGTTTAGGACGAGAGGCGATGCGATCTCGATCCTCCCGGATGGAGAATGCATCTCGATTCGATAGATATATATATATACAGACGAAACCGAACAGAGAAAGGCGAATACACACGCGAGTGAAAAAGAACCGCGTGACGAGGCGTGTTCTACGCTCGCGGGGATAAGTCAAAAGCGGTGGCGAGCGCGCGGCTGGCCGACCTCGGAGCTCGATCGCAGGGAAAGAAACACACTTAATTAGAAACGGCGTCTGTAATTAAAAGCGCAGGATTGGTGGCGCGCGAGCCGGCGTTCGCATAATCAAGATCGTATCTCGGCTACGTCGGGACCGCGCATCAAACCCGCCCTGTATCGACCGTGCGCCGATATATTTCCCTCTCGCGCGAACGACGGCTACGCCGAGAGTTTAGTTATATAACTTATCGAGTCTATCATACACGCATGCACACACGAGAGCGCGAGCGACAGCCTCGTGGTTGGCGCGGGGGCCACGCGGGATCGACGACCCCCGGGCTCGTAAATTCCCCGCGTCCTGAGATGCAAATGGAACGCCGGGGCGAAACTGCGGCGGCCGTCCCACGTAGCCGAGCTACGAATTTCGCGCGGGCCGGCCCGCATAATTCAGAGATACTTCGCCGGCTTTTTCGTTTCGCGCGCGCGCTACGTGAAAAGCGATTATTGTCGTAGCCGATTCCGTTTGGTCCGTCGAGTGGGCGGCGTGGAAAGACGGTTTAAGGGAAATATTTATCCGACGAGATTTCCCCCCCTCTCTCTCTCTCTTTCTCTCTTTGCCTCTCACGTGAGAGATCCCGGGCAATGAAATACGCACTAAGCCCGACGAAAGTCGTCGTCGCCGCGATCTCCCAAGAGCGTTCCCGAGCGTGACAAATTTATTTGCCTCCGCGTCGCCTCGTTTATTTCCCCCACTGCGGACGACACCGAAATTAGCCACTCGCCGCTTATTACGCGGCGCAAGGCGATTACATCCGTCGCATCGAATTTCGTGGAAAAGGAAGAAGAGTCGTCGGGACGCATATTTTAATTTCGACTCCCGTCCACCGGTTCGAGAAGAACCCATCGCGAGACGTGAGATTACGCGACATACGCGACGAGCTGATCCGCAGCCGATTGAAAAGAAATTGCATTGAAAAGAGAGACAGAGAGAGAGAAAGGGAGAGAGCCAGTGACGGAAAGTTTCAGCGGATTCTCGGGACGCGCATCCGGCGCGGCTTACGAGACATTCGTATGACACGGCGACACGAAGAAGGGGGACGGGGGGGAAGGAGGGTGGCTACGTACATACATACATCTGAAAGTTTGCGTCTGCCGGTACTGCGAACCTCAAAATATTTGTTCTCCGCGGAAGAAGCGGCACCGCATCCGGCGACTAGAAATTGAGTGGAATTCCACGCGGCGGTTTTGCCGCGGCGTATCTGGGTCACGCTGGCCCGGGCCGAGCACACGAAAACACATTGGTTCTTACCTCTGCGGGCTCTCCGCGTTCAAAGTCAGCCGCGTTCCCTCGATAGACAGATAGATAGATCTCTCCACGTCTCTACTCGCGCGCCCGCTCGGGGAAAAGAAATGCTAATTCCGTCCCCGCGACCGTCGGCATGAGAGAGAGAAGTCATTCGTTCTCGTGGAAGACGCGTCACGTCGCTTCATACCCGGGAGGCTGAAGCCCGCTTCTGTTGGTCCTGGGCGCGCCTCGCTCGTCTCCGTCGTCATCCGCTCGAGCGTGTGCTCCCCGATTCTCCGCGAGCGCCTTGTGAGAGCACGCTCGTTCGCCGATCTCTCGCAGAAAAGAAACGTTCACCACGGGAATCGATCGTTGACGACGAGTCCCGCGAACTACACGAGGGCTGCTCGAGGGTGAAAAGTCAACCGGCCCGGTGAGGAAGCTCCGGAAGCGAGTGAGGGGAGCCGCACTCTGCCGCACAACCCCCGTTGCGTCGCCCGTGCTTCTCGCCTCTCTTCGCGCACACCCCCGCTCCGGCGAGTCGATCGCGGTGTGGGAAAAAAAAAGATCCGGCTGATTTATGGAGTCCGGCAGGTGGTTAGCGCGGATGGTGCTCCGTGGTCTCCCCCTGGTCTCCCCTTCGCACCACCCGTCTCGATCGGCTGGGTGAAACTATCGTCGGCCATACTCTCTCACTGCAGCAGCTCCTCGTGATCGACCAGTCACCTCGCGAAGGAGCCGGCGTGCAAGAGCAACAGGAGCAACGCCAGCGTCCTCGTGGCCGCGCCGCTGTTGCTGGAGTTCCCGTGCTGCATGGCCGCCGGATGCTCCCCTGAAACCCAAGAACACATAAATTATTTTCAGACCGGGACTAGGTGGCCGGGGATGCGGCGAATGGAAAATTTACATCGTCGCTTGCGCTCCCTTCTCTCTTTCCCTCTCTCTCTCTCTCTATCTGTTTCTCGTTACTTCTCTCGCTTTCTATCTCCGTTCGCTTCCCAAGCTTTCCCGAGAAACTCGTATGCATGAGAAGAATGTGCATGGGACGCCGCGGAACCTCAAAGTTTTATTCTAATCACAGATTCCTCGACGCTTACTCGGCACGGGTAATTCCTCCGGCATTAAATATCTCGATTATCTCGATAATCTCGTATATTATCGGTGGCGAGAAGGTTGCGACGCTTCTCAATCTGACGAGTCGCGGAACACGCTGGAAATTACACACGCGCGATTTCCGTGACTACTTGAAGACTCGTCGGAAAGGAACGAGTCGCGCCACTTTCTCGCTATCGTGCTGGTTGACAGGTGAAATCAAATGAACGTACTCTAATGAATTGATCCGATCGCATCGAGTGTGCACGCGATATTTGTTTCACCGCCGACAATTCTAAATTAGAGTGAATTTGCGCATACGATAATCAAAGCGATATTAATATCTATTAGAATAATCGCGCATAATTAAGCATGATTGTGCAAAATTAGTAGTGCATCAGTTTATGTATTAATCAACTTTAACCGTGTGTGTACAGACGAGTGTACGTGTGTGTGTGTGTGTGTGTGTGTGCTCATGTGCGCGCGTGTAAACATGTGTACGTGTTCACACATTTAAGAGTGCGAAACCGTCGAAAACGACGCATCGAGTTTCATGTCTACAGGCGGCCGACGAACAAATTGCGCTACAATCGTTAACGAGCGACTCTGCCACTGATTGTTAATTAATCTAAACGTAAAATATGCAGTCCCGGCAATACAGAATCGTTGTAACATGCACACACGCGCGATGGATTCATCATTCGCGAAATTATTCGGTGGTCGTAATCACATTTTAAAAGCGCCGCGGGGCATAAACGCAAATGAAACAATGTAGCGACGTAGCGTAATAACAAGAACATTTCTAAATGCTCCGCCGGAACGGCGGTGCGCGTGAAACGTAAACGTAAAGTCGAGGGAGAGAAGGAAAGGTCCTCCCCACGAATGTCCGCCCCAGGGCGAAATCGAATTCCCCACGTTGCATCGATTTTGGATAAATCAAATATTTAAGCGGACGCATTACATTAGATATTGTTGCAATAACCCCACTGTTTGTCCCCCCGATAGCTCGTGGAAGGAACGACGACTGAGATTCTGCCTAAATATTGACGCCCGCGGCGTTTCCGCGGGCGCGCTCCTTTCAAGAGTTTGCAGTTAGATAGCTGGCGCGTTGATATCGAGCGCGACGTTAGAATTAACTTCGATGTATCGGAATATGGAGGTGCCCGGCAGGTCCCACCACGGAGGAGGAACTCCCGTATACAGGAAATCCTCAGGTGCCGCGCACGGTAATCACTTACACTGAGGCTCGAAGTTGCCGTCGAACTACAAGTTCTTCTCGTCAGTTCTTACACGGGTATGAGCATAAGTGTCTTATCCGGGAACAATATTGAAGTTATTATTAATTCAGCGTGTATCGCGAAAGTTCATTACCACAGCGTTTCGGCGCGAGGTACGCGAGGTACTTAAGTATATTATTTATGCAGCGTCTCGGTAATATTAAATCGCGCCGAGACGCGTCTCTCTTCAACATTGCGATCACGCGAAACGAGACGGCTATGTGTGCTGCGCGTGTCCGTGTATCCGCGATTTTCTTTACGAGGATTCGCACTAATGAGATTAAAGACTCCTCAGGCAGGAGGAGGACCGTCGTGTTGATTCGCACCGAGTGACCCGAGAGGGAAACTTGTATTGGTAAACTTTGCGAATTCAAGTGCGGATAGAATAATCCGCACGCGCGAGAACACGCTGTTTCGAAGCTGCTCTCGCTCGTTCGATCCTCGCGTGATGTAAGTGCGATATTCGATTAACCCTTTGCGTTGGAAGCGCTTCTCCCGGACTTTGTGCATCCGCGAGTCGGACAACGTGCGCGCCCCGTTGATTGCAAACTTCACACTCAATGCCGTTGTCTGGTGACGGCGAAATTCTCCGGAGAATTCCGCGAGATCGCGTAATGTACATCAATGCAATGTACACTTTCGTCGCCTCGACTTAAGTATATACACACGGATCCATCCAGTTGACACTCGCAGGGTGAAGAAATTGGTAATGTAAATTACTCTCGGAGTGGTCGAAACCTTTCGAAATTGCAATTACAAAATGTGCAATACGCAAAAGGTTACGCGAAGATTACCGAGCAGTGCTCGGTGTTATCTAGAAATCCGGCAAAAATCCGCGGAGGAGGGACCGTTCCGAGGGACACGAAACAGCAATACGTTGCGCGCGAGACCTCCCACGCGAGTTTTGTAATTCTGCATCCCTGCGTCCATTCGTCCCGGCACCGGTCGAGCTCCGCTGAAGCGCGGCCAGAGATTGATGCAAGACATCCTGCCGGCGGAGACCAACGGAAAGGATCAAGCGGTGCACTCGTCCGAGCGAGAGAGATCGAATTTCTTTCGCCTCACCTCGCGCCGGCCTTCAGAGGTGCACCTAACGCACACCTACGCCCGCTCCCCTCCTCCTCCCCCCCCCGCCCCAGCGCGCGTATCCATCCGGCCAGCGGTGGGATGGATTTCCGCGCAGAAACGTATTTTTTTCCCGTCCCCGCTACATCCCAACCCCCCGTCGACGTCCGTCTGGTACGCCAGCTAATTTACGACTCGCAATTCGACGAACGACCACGGCCGCAAGAAGCGCTCATTTTTCAGCGAAAACGAGCATCAGCGTCTCAGGGGGGAAAAAGAAAGAAAGGGGCGAGAGGGGTGGGAGAGGAGTGAAGCGAGAGGAAAAGAAAGAGAGAGAGAGAGCGACTCGCGAGACGACGGCCCGCGGGGGTAAATCGACAGCAAGTGCGCGCGGCGGGAGAGATGAAACCGCTCGGAGCTTTTCGATGGAGAGCCTCGGCTCGGCGATACGCTCCACCCTTACGAGAGACGCTGATGTAACGCAGCGAGACGCCGAACGCCTGAGTGCTTACATAAGTTCAGCCGCGAAATGCACGACGCGGATCGTTACGGCGAGGTGTTTAGGATTTTAATGTGTTACACAGGACGCTGTGCGTATGTGTGTATATAAGTGAAAGAGAGAGAGAGAATCGGCGTCCATCCATCTTCTCTTTTTACTACCCCGCAAATAGTTTCTCGTCTGGCGTTTCCGAAGAGCTCCCAATAAAAGTGTCACCATAAACAGCCCGTTAAGCGCGACAGCCGTTTATTTAGTGTGACGCGAACAGCGTCTCGCCGAGCGAGACGGTCGGGATCGGAAAACGAAGCGATTATCAATTACATCGTCATCGGAGGACGATGCTTCGTCGGGCGCGTATTACACCCGCCGTGACGTCGCAACTACCACGATCGCGTCCAATTAGCTCTAATGCTCACGGACCGCGTCGTAAGCTCGCGCGTGCGAGCGGTGGAAGGGAGAGGGAGAGAGTAAAACAACGAAGCGGTAGACTTCATTTTTAACGAGGCACGTCTTATTAATGAAAAGAACCCGAGCGCGGCGAGACCGCTCGGAGCAGCCTATCGCCTTTATTCATAAGGCATTAAACTGTCCCGTGTAACCTGGGCGGAAGCCCGCCGGCCTACCTATCGCGACTCCGTTATTTCCCCGGGTATTTAGTCCGCGGCAAGTGAAAGAAGGCGAGCGCAAATTGTCGAGCGCGACCGCTCGACTGTTCTTGCAATCTGTACGTGGCAATTTGGCGAAGCGGCGGCGGGCACGCTAATGAGAGAAGCGCTTGAAAATTAACAGGCGGTAGTCGCGGTCGCGCACTCGTCCGCGCGACCGACGAACGAACAAATCGTCGGAAATCGACGGGTAAATATGCCTCGAGATTAAACGAAACCTCGAGACACAAGTGTATTCTCGCGCGCGCGCACGCGCTCACATCGGCGATGTCTGAATTTTCCAACAGCACTTTCGTAAACGTTTTTCTCTCGTTTCGTTCGTGGAACGTGAAAAAAAAAAATTTGCATGAGTTGGCGGGACTCGCGGGTGAAATCTAGCCGGCGGAGAGTCTAACGTCCAACGGGGGGTATAGAGAGAAAAAGAAGGATAGGTGGAGATAGCGGGAGAAAGAAAGATAGATGGATAGAAAGAAANGGGGGGGGGGGGGGGGGGAGGGGGAAACTGCGTTAAAACCGTTACACGCTACGTTTTCCCGGAGTATCCCGGGAAAAGCCGAGGCAGAAAGTGCTTTTATTGCTTATTCAGACGCGCCGGTAATTATTCCGGCACTCGTGTGCCGCCGTCGCCTCCGCCACCACCATCGAGTTACGTAACATTCGCTAACCGGGGGCCTTAAATCCGCGTTAGTAACAGCGGATAACGCGCTTGACGTTGATAGATTAACCCGCGGGCCGGGTGTAATCGCGGGGAAGAGAAAACCTAATCTCGATATACGCAGACGAGGAGGACGCAAACGACGATCGCGCGCCGCCTTTCGCGGAACGCTCGAGTCGCGGGATCCGCAGCGGGCGGTAAAGCAGAGCCTCGGATTCCGTGCGTAATTACGCGCGTCCACAAATCCGATTCCGAAGCTTTTCGCTTCGCCGTTCGTCGCCAGCGCTGGACGGCCATCATCGCGCGGGTCGCGCTCATTAGACTGAAAATTCAACGCCGGGCAATAGAAATATCATGCGGGTCGCGCTCCGGCCATTCGGCTTCGGTCTTTTTCGCGGGCAAACGGTTTTCCCAGTTTTATGCAAATAGTATAATAATTGCAGCGCAAAGCGACGTCGCCTGGGAATCCTGTTATTTTCGTCACGAAACAGGAAGAGCGGCAACGCGCGCTCATGCAATTATCTCCGGCCGAGCGACGTTAAGTTGAATGTCCGGCGCGCGCCACTAAGCGAATAGTTG